TTCTAACTCTCTTCTTAGCCTTCTCTGTCACCGTGTTTATAATAAACTGCAGATTGCTGCATATTTGTGGGTGCTCTCTGCAGTTCACACGGTTTATACACATTAGAAACAGGTTCACTTGTTTCTATCATTCCTTGGAAAATACCTCACTACTGATACCAATATTAAAAACACTTTTACTCACACTGGCGTTCCAAAGAATTGCCTGCCACAAAACCTTGATTCAGTCAGATGGCTGCTTTGTATTAATAGTATTTATGTTAAGTGTTTGCAAAAGAAGTCATGTTTTTTATACATCAACTCAACCAGTTCAACCAGACTGACAACTGAAAGCAACAGTTCAATATGAATATAAGAAATATAAGAAATCAGCAGTCATTGGTAACTGGAAGCTTAGCATCAAAATCTGTGCAGATTGTACGGGTTCCTGTTTCACTGTCAGTGGACAATAGTGTCTCTAACAAGCTGGAAGTAACACATATAACACACAGCAAAGCTATTCTTTAAACTTCAGAAGAGAGGCTCATTGATGCTTTTCTGGACTGAAAAACTAATTCAAATTTAAAGGATATTTGGGGTGAAAAATGATTACAACAGTATTCCGTCTTCTGGGGCCAGATGTATCATATAATAGCCATTATTGAAGGAAAGAAGAAAAACAAAAAAAATCACAGGTGATCACATATTTTAACATGTAAAACCAGTTGCTATTAAGAACCATGTTTCTGCTGGTATCCCTACCCTGCAGCTATTGTAAAAAGGCTCTACATATTATATTAGTCACAATTATTGGTGAAATTCCATTGTCAGAACAATCATAATTGAATTTTAATAATACAATTAATAATATATTGGCCACCGATATATTATAAATCCCTAAAGCTTCATATGACCATACTTATCCTTTGGATGGGCTCTGGACATGCTTTCTGGAGTACAGCGTTGGATACCATTTCAATATTTACATAGATCTACAATAAAGCTGCGTTAACATAATTATTTGGCCACTCAGAGGCTGTGGAACAAGCTGTAAATACAACATTTGACATAAAAACACAGATTACATTTGGCTTGGTGTTTGGACAGGTAGTGGACAGTGGCTTCATCCAAGCTAGTTGCCCGATAAAACAGAGTTAAAGGGCCAGGAAACCAAAACAATGGGCTAAAATACGCCTAAACTGCAGAGTTGGTGACAGGGACAGTGAGTGACTGGGATTACCTGTCTTCTGTCCTGTTTTCAGTTTTTTCCAATGCTAGATTAGTTGATCATGTATTAGTCTGTGTGTGTTCGTAATGCTGTCTCAGCCCTGTGTCTGCACCACCTTAACACAAATATAAACACAGACTTCTTTTTAGGAAAGACCCAGTGACCCCTGGGTCAGCCAAGAAGCTTCTGTGTTGTTCAGTAAAGCTTATAATGCAGACAGACGGCCTAATCAGTGTGGATGTTCCATCTTGTGTAGAAAGCCAACATGCGTTTTTGTCGTGACAGTATAAACCTAAATCACATTGACCTCAAACAATGTAGTTATTTTATTTGTTATTTGTTTATTTTTAGGCAAGTTAATATTGATCCAATTTTAAAAATGTGCTAGGGTAAATTTCTGTCAATATGTTTGGATTGAAAGGACAAAGCTGGTGATATTTTATGTTTATTATCCTACTAAAGACGTACTTCTTTAAAAACGCATCAGAAATATATCATTGTTTTATAAAAGGCTGTTTTTTTCTCACACTGTAGTTTTTAGTAATCATTTATCAAACAAGAGAAAATAGTACATTTGTTGGGAACTATTTTTAGCAGCGGATTAATCCACATTTGCTGCTCTAGTCCAGTGAGTATTTTTGGCAGCAAAACAGTGTGTTTGGGATTGACTTAAATAAACTAGAGTAAGTGTTTTGCCAAGTGCTTGCTTATGGTGGAAACTGTTGGGTCTCTAATTATATAAGGAGTTTGTTCTAGACCTAGTGTCCTGAGATAACATTTGTTATGAATTGGCGCTATACAAATAAAACTGAATTGCATGTGTTCTTATAGCTGCAGTAAGTAACTTTTATAAAAATAACAATTTGTCATATTTGCTGAAATTTTCACTGTGTCCTGACAATAGTACACAAGACAGGTGAAACAGTCAACATTCCTGCTGGCAATCCTCGAAGTGCTCCTAATGGTATTGGAATGAGATTAACAATTAACATTCTTCTAGCTTCCACCTCAAAGTTCTTTTATATCTTTCTTGGCTCTTGATTGGTTGTTTTCATTCAGGCCCGGTGGATTCTTAACAAATGCATTAGGGAGCCAGATGAACCTGATTTTTTCCACAGATTATCTGTCTCATGTACTGCTGTCAGAACACAGTGAAGATTTTCGCAATAATGACAAAAAGTTATTTTTATAAAAGTTACGTACTGAAGTTTTAATAGTTTTTGGACAAAAATACAAGTCTGTGGCACAGAGGAAGCACATATAGTAGGATCAATTCATTGTGGGTCATAGTTAAATTTCAAGGGATTTTTTGACAAGGAAAAAAACTATAGAATAGCACCAGACTGAACCTTTAACAAATGTTAACCTGCAGCAACTTAATTTCTTTTATTCACTTGGGGGAAGCGGAAACAAATTGTGAACATTGTGAACCTGCATTTTTCAAAAACAAGGAAAAAATTGCTAGATTACTAGACCGACCAGTAAATTTATGACAGTCTGTGAGCCAGTGCTGTCCTGTATTGTCCAAAAAATGTCTGGTTCTGGAAAATGATTTATCAAAAAGAGTAGGAACCCTGATTAATCTGCACATTACTTTCCTATTTATATATCTGATATATAAAACAACAGAAAACAGTGAAAATTGTCCTTCTCAATATCCTAGATCACTAAGAGACATATTGTTTTGTCTGAGCAACAGTCCAAACCCCAGAATACTGAACACTATAATGTACTTCTTACAATTTAAAACCTAGAGTCACCCAGCTTTTGGCTTTTTTGTTTGAAAAATGATTCAAATGATTAAGCAATTCTTTAAATCGTTCTAGATTAACTTTCTCTCAAATGGTTAATGATTTCAGATCTACATTTGTCCAATTTAAAAAATAAAAATAAAAAATAAAAAATCTAACAGCTGATATAATGGTGTGGCCACTGCTGAAGCCTGTGTGCACTGTGTCTGTGAATGAATTGAACAGTCCACAGTGGCAGAGCGCTCCACTGCAGTGTGTTATTGTTATATTAATATTTACAGCGTCCCACAAGGATATATCTAACGGTGCTATGTGTTGTTCATAAGCCTTGACTCCTCCAAGATAGATTTAAAGCAGAGACACAGCAAGGACATGAATCAGGAGAGGCAAAATAAATTGACTTTGGCTCAGTATAGCCTTCAGCACTTTAATGTCTTCTTTTATTTGGGATATAAAAAAGACAAGTTCTCTCATATATCTGAAATGGTGTCTTGTTACCTGTGTGAAGGAGGTTTTGTGTTGCCCCTATTAGTCTTTCTGTCAGCAGGATATCTCAGAAACAACTGACAATTGTAAGAATATTTACTACACAGATAAGTCTTTGGGCAATTGATTTAATATTGGTGTTAATGTTTTTTTACTCCTAACTATGACTGTAATTCAGATATAATTTTGACTCCAAATCCTAGAAGTATGTTTCCCAGAAATGTCTTCATCATTCTCTCGTAGTTTGTCCCTAGTTAGGTCTTGTTGCCAAAACCAGCAATAGAGTTCACTCCAGTGTTAGCTGTAGAGTCTGTAGATAAGTACTTAAAAGGGAATATGAGCATTTTCTTATTGCTGATGGATCAAGTTTGTCAGTTCTCACTTGCTGTTTTACTTTCTTGATGGCCTTTCATAATTGCTTTAAAGGTCCAGTGTGTAACAATTTAAGAGGACTCTGTTGTCAGAAATTGGAATATAATATTCAAGGTATCCGGTTTTCATCTAGTGTTATGCAACTCGACCTGACTATACGAAATTGTTGTGTTTTTGTTACCTTAGAATGAGCTGTTTTTATCTACAGAGGGAGTGGGTCTAATCTGACTGCACTGGGTGGTGTGCTACACAGAACCATCTGGGAAGTAATTATTGGAAACTGTATGGAAAAGGCATTTTCAAAAAATACTCAGCAGGTAATTGGATGAACCATTTGTCTTTCACCGTAAACTTCAACCAATCAGATCAACAAACCATATAACACAGTCAACCTCTTACTGAAGCCAGTCGGGAGAAGAGAGAAATCATCTTTTCCATGACAAAAAGCCTTCGGTATATATATAGTCATGGGATGTCCAGAGGGTAGCGTGGAGACTTTAAGGGGTGGCAGAATGATCTGCTGATTTAATCACAATCACAAAAATCAATTTTAGCTTGGAAAAGCCCCCAAATGAAGAGATTTGAACTCAAAAACATTATTGTGTGAATAGAAATATCTAATGGTGGCAGTAGAAATCAGTACATTGTTTTATTTCCAAATCTTCAGACATTTATACAAATGGCATTTTTCATTGAGTCTAAAATGTGGCCAAACATTCATTTCTGTTCAAAAACATTATTTTTAGAGTTAGTCCAAATTAAAGTGTTAAATTGGACAGCAAACTGGGGTGGCAGCACAGGTGACCGGGCATATCCCCCTACGTCCATTCCTGTTCTCGCCTGATGATTCTGTGATCTAATGACTGCAGTTGCCTTGCAAGGTTAGAGGTCCTCTTCTACAGAATCTGCCATGATGAACCACCGTGCTGTAGATAGGGCCTTTCAGAGTTTTCACACATTTCATGGCCACTGTAGTTTCTCCTACACGCTTAGAAGGCTGAGCTCTATTCACATGGTTGCAATCTGCAACTTCATTAGATGTTTAGACGTTTTTTATCATTTTAGGTCTTTATTAGTCACTTATGTTTTTATATGAATTTAATGTGGGTGAATATGCACAATGGGGATCACATTATCTGTCATTAGTAACAGGATTTTCACTTCTTCTTCTCGTCTTTTTAAAGGTTTGCTAAAATTGAGATCAGCGCATCCAAGCCCATTATTCCATTCAGAGAAACAGTGGTTCGTCCTCCAAAAGTGGACATGGTGAATGAAGACCTGGGCAAGCAACAGAAAGTAGCCATCATTCACCAGGTGAGGCAACCCTACAGTCACATAACCAGTTCATGAAAGCTTCTATTTTTGCTGTTGCGAGCACTTTGTATCTAGGTTTTTGCTGGGAAATGGCACACAGGAGATGATGTCTTTTACAGAACTGTGTGTTGAAGCAACTTGTTTTAAATCACCAGGGCAGAAAAAATTGGAAAATTGAGCCATTAAAAGGAGCAGATTTGTTGGATTTGCTTAACACAGCCCTCACCATGTCTGTATGTGTTGGTAGGTGAAAGAAGAGGTCACTCAGGGCCGTTCGTCTGACACCCTGCATGTGGATCCTAGTGGTCTTGTCACCGTCACCATTCCCAACAGAATGGCCACTGTGAGCGTCCGAGCAATTCCCCTACCAGAGGGTAAGACCTGGACACACATCAAGCAGGCTAATGGTCTGTTTACACAGTTGTTTACACAAAGAGAAAGAGTTGAAACCCTGTCTACTTCCACACCTACACTCACTGAGGGATGGAAATTGATTCATTGATATCAGTACCACGATCGATTCTGCTTATTGGTTCGAATCTTTGTTGGTTCCCTTGCTGATTCCTGATCAATTTCCTGTGTGGAAAAAAAACTAGACCTTTACATGTTTTCAGCATCGGCGCACCTGTTTTATTATCTCTGAGTCTGGACACAGTGTAGAACAAGAGAGGATTTATCTATTACCATGTTATATTTGATCTTTGAGTCTTTTTGAAAACAATTGTAGACAATTGTCTTTTTTGGAAAGTGACGTCAATTGTCAAATAACCGCCCAAAAGTTCACTGGTACTCCACTACCCAGCATCAGTGATACAGGTGATGTGAGGTGGCTGCACAGAGCATAAACAATACTAAAAGACAGCACCCACCCAAGCCACAGCCTGTTCTCCCTGCTGCATTCTGGGAAGAGATACAGAAGCTTCTGCTGGCATACCACCAGACTTAAAGACAGCTCCTTCCCTCAGCTCTCTTTTTATTTTTATGACTCGTTAATCAATTTTTATGTTGTTATTAAAAGTAGCATTAAGGGATCTATATCTAAAATTCATCATGATAACAAAATGACCTTGAACCATGAAATGAAGCACCCCTGTGACTGCACCTAAACCATGCTTGGTTTTATTCCAACAAGGGAGTGATGTATATCTTGGGATCCCAATGACAGCAGTTAACTGTGTGTTTGAATAGAAAACCAGTGTGTGAAAACTTGAAAACTTGAAAACACTGAAACTAGAATCATGAAGTGTGTCATACCTTTATTTCACTGTTCCATGAAACCATGTCAGAGGTGACTCACTTGTTGGAGAGAAGCACAGAGCTGATTCAGACTCTGGAGCAGGTGAACGTGTCCCTGAGGGAGGGGAAGACTGTGGATGTCAGCCTCAGGACCCTGGAGGCCATTGCTGGACTCAAGGCCCAGCTGGAGAACCTGCTGCAGGGGAGGAAGTGGAGGAACGCTGTGGAGCGTATCTGGGCCTTTGGGCCTCGCAGGTTTGTTTCACATGGACTGTAACTCCTCCAGGATACATTTATAGCAGAGACACAGCAAGGACAGGAATCAGGAGAGGTTAAATATATTCAGTTTGGCCTTGCAGATCTGACACAGACTGTAGTGCTGGATATTCCCTGGCTTTTAAGAATTAAACATAATCAATTAGCTGAAAAAAGAAAGCATGACTATCCAGTTCTCTGCCTCAATAAATAAATGAGAATTAGCTTAGTGCTAGTGTAATGTTTAATATGAATGGGGATGAACACACAGAGAATCATCACAACCTCTGTTCTTCCCCTAAGCTCTACAGAGCATTTTAGTCTCTTTCCACTCAGGTTTTTGGTTTTATGGCCCCCAACTTCACTGTTTTGATTCAGTCTCACAGTTCTCATCATCCTTCCAGCCACAGCATTAAAATAAACCTACTGTACACTAGCTGCCCAGCACCAAACAGCAAACTGAGAGTGGCTGGTGAACATAGAGACTTTTCTCAGGAGCTGGTGGAGGCTAAAACGGAGCTAAAAGAAGAGTGAATATTGGAGCATTCATCAGGTGGACATAAACATGACTCCAAATGAATGTTATTGTTGCTTTGTGTCTGCTTGATATTTATATAATAAATTGTGTGCTATCGTGTATGTCATTGTTGTCTTGAATCTGAATGAATACAGCTTTTAAATGTAAAATATATATTTTTTGTCACTAGGGGATCTCTCACATCAAAACAAAATCAAAGACAATGTCTGATGACATGTTGAAGTAGCGTGGGATCATGGGAGTCATTGCAGTCAGCTTCTCCTGGTTAGGATTCCTTCAGTGTTCATTGTTCAAGTGGTTCAGAGGGTCCTCCTCTCCAAAACAAACAGACCTGCTGATTAAAACCACTAAACACACTGAATAAAGCAGTTCCACCTTAAAAACCTCACTGTCTCTCCCCCACGCTCTGGTGGAACAGACTAGGACACTCCTGAAGGGCTGCGAGCCCGAGCTGCCTGCTAACGTTAGCTCAGATTTGGTTCGTCTGATACAGCTTCTTATGAGTCCAGCTTCCGTCGATGACTAAAAATCCTGTCATCCGGCTCAAAATCTAGAGTATAAAAGCACCTAATCTAAAACAGTGGATGGTAGAAAAATGTGGCTTCAAACTGGATTACGCAACAGTCATGTACTCGACAGCATTTTTGAACAGACAACACGAACGCTAGAGGGGGAATATGCACGCCACTAAAGACAGGCGGACCCGGTGAACTCAGCGTTACCTGAATATGAGAGATTTCTCTGAGTTACTCACCATGTTACTGTTGTTGTTTTCAGGTATGGTCCCAACTTTTTGCTGAACAGCGTGGAGGGCTACCAGCGGCTCTCAGTGTGGCACTGTCTGGGCAGGGGAGACAGAGCTGGCCAGGCTGGAGCTGCTGTTATACGAGACTTTGATAACAGCATCGTCAGCGGCTTCCAGCTAGCAACTCTGTCGGGACCCATGTGTGAGGAGCCCCTGATGGGAGTTTGCTTTTCTGTGGAGAGGTGGGACGTCCAGCCTTCAGCCATGCCACAGCACCAAGACTCCTTAGAGGAGAACACTATATCACATGAGGCTTTAGCCGACAGCAGAGTGGAAGGAAGTACTAAGATACCTTCAGAGGTGGAGGGCACTGTGGCAGGGCAGAGCCAGGCCAGGCGCAGGCCAGAGGCTGCCTCTGCAGACTGCTACAGGCCAGTTTCCGGCCAGCTCATCGCTGCCATGAAGGAGGCCTGCCGCCACGCCTTCCAGGCTCAGCCCCAGAGGCTCATGGCTGCCATGTACACATGCGAGATCATGGCCACCGCTGAGGTGCTGGGTAAGAGAGCAGTGTCAACAAACTTATGCCACACAAAGACGATATTTTAGGCCTGAGATTTCTGCTTCCACCTTAGTATATTGAAGTAAAGTCAAGTCAAGTCAACAGCAACTTGTCCTTCCAGTGTAACAGTTTCTGTGAAGCATCCACAGAACACACTTTGGTAGAAAGTAATTCCCATGAGAACTGTTCAGAATGAGGTGTTTGGATTACCTACAGGAACACTGGTTGTGGAGAGTCCCATTCACCTTCATTGTATTGAGGTGGAGTCTCAAAAATCTCAAAACCTGGACAAATAAAACCTTCCATTATGTAGCATATGATTTAAACTGAATAAGCTGATGGGGTTCAGTATGTATGTGATTGGCTTTTGGTGGGGCTTTAGTTTATTCTATTAGTACAGAAACAACACAAAGAAGTTGATCATTATCTTCTGAAGAATGTGGTCTTGCTGCACAGATGTCACTCACACCACACTGAGATCTGATCACAGTGTGAGCCAGATTTCATCTCCAGATATGATGGGTCTGATTGCGTACCATTTACACCTTGTATTAACAGTCATTTTCCCTTCTCCAAATATAATATCTACGTACAACTCTCAGAACCAGGCCATTCTAGTTGCTTAGATGTCCATGAAATGGGAAGAATGTAAAAAATTATATTCAGCAGTTGGTAGGCAAGGTAAATGAATTTGATCATTACATCACAGAATCAAATCAATTGTGTTTGGTTATGGGAGGAAAGGGGGAGGGGCAAATAAGTCAGCTTTATGATGCAGAACTTTAGTCAGAAATCTGCCAGAGCTCAGCAGTGTCTCGTCTCCTCGTCTTCTCCCTGATTATGGGAGACGCCTGGAAGAAGCTGAACTCTGCAATTTCCACAACTACCTGCAACACCTCCTGCAGGAAGCCAATGCAGCACCATGCTGACACTATATTTCTTTACATCCTGCTGTCTTGCCTCTCTCTGCTCACTGTGGCTCTGAACCTGCTGGTCATCATCTCTATCTCCCACTTCAGGCATAAAGATTCACTTAGAACCTAAAATATAATGTCAAGCACTTAATTTTAGGAGTGAAAAAAAGGGACATTGTCACATTGGCATGAAAATATAATCATTTGATTTTTTAACAATTTACATATATTGCTTTTAGCATTTAAAATACTTGCATAGTATTACTCTGGTTACTACAACTGACTCTGCAGCCATCAGGGAACATATTGATGATATGAATGTTGTAAGCTGACTTCTCTCTAACCTTCCCCTCTACTACAGTAGTTACAGTAAAATACAAAACTGGTACTTTTACTTCATCTGTTTTCCAGGATTTTGAGCTATATAAAAATGTTACTATGTGCTATACTGTATTATGTGGACATAATTAGTTTATTTGACTGTTTATAATGTTACAGACTTCCATAACTGTTACATATAATAACATGTTTAGTGATGATATTCTCTTTCTCCAGGCAGCTCCACACCCCCACCAACCTTCTCCTCCTCTCACTGGCTGTCTCAGACTTCCTCGTTGGCCTCCTGCTGATGCCGCTTCAAATCCTCTTTATAGGGGGCTGCTGGTTTTTGGGGAGCTTGATATGTGCACTTTTTTACTATGCCTCTTTTATCCTTACATCTGCCTCAGTAGGAAACATGGTGCTCATATCAGTTGACCGATATGTGGCCATTTGTGACCCTTTGTGTTA